GAGTTTCCTTGGTGGATAGCAATTTGTTTCCCGTTGCGGTTGAATGGAAGCGATCTAATTCTAATAGGGTTGCATTCGCGACAGCGATCGCTGGAAAAGTGAATTATTTGCGCCTCCTCCAACTGGAAAAATGTATATTTATCACCGGATTTCGATGGAGCTGCGGAGGCGGCAGCGGCGGTGGCGGCGACATTCACCGTGCGCTCTTCAGTCTACTGGAGCAAAAAATTAGCTAGGAAATACTCTTCTACGGCAGACATAGACAATCCCCGTGTCGGCATCGATAAGACCCAGGCTTCCATTGTTGTTCCGCAATTTTCCCAACCAAAAATTATCTCTGCTCATGACGCTTGGGCGCGAACCCAATCGGCACTGGCGTTTTTAATTTTCTCTCCCAGAGATTCGCATCCGGAAAATGGGTCGAGATGAGGATGTAAGGAAGGGAGCCTTTTAGCCGTAATTCTCATACTGTAGGTTCACCCCCGCGGAAATTTATCGGGTGTTATAAAGTCTTTATCGTCGCGAAAGAAATCCTCCGGCGCGCGGAATTTCCATCGGACATTAAAGCGTTTCATATAACTAAAGTTAAATTGGGTAAGGGAAGTCTGTTTGTTTTGAGTTCCCGGTCCTTCTTCCCTGCTTAGGATTCTTTCTTTCCATTATTCGGGAAAAGTCGTAATCCAACTAGCGCTCAAGTATTTCATAGAAAAAAGAAAAAAAAAACGATGAAGGAAAGGAAAACGAGAGTTTTTCCTTTTCTTTTTGCAGAGTTGCTTTTTTTTGTTCGTTTTATTCATGGTTTAATTGCCATTTACATTAAAAGTACATAAATTGAACTGATTTAAATATTTAACAGTCTCATTTATTATCCCGTCCAATCCGGGATTTGGATTTAAACGAAACAATGGAAACATGAATTGTGTGTATTTTTTGTATATTTAAAAAATAGTTTATGTAAACTCTTGAATATCATATTTTGTTTACTTATGATGAAGTAGATGATAAAAGAGTGTTAAAAAAAATATTTGAGAAATTAGTTCTTAGTGAGTTACAACTATGTATGAGTGTTAAACAGTTTCGTGAATAGTTGAGGAAAACCTTGTGATATAACTCCATGTGCTAAGTTCGAAATTAAACTGTCAGTCTTTGTAGGAGGCGTTCATCCTATAATTTATTGAAACTGATGCGATGACTGTAATTAAATCGGCAATTATTTACACATTTACGGTAAAACGAACGAGCCAGGATCGTTGGTGCATTATGGTATGTGCATGCCTTCGGGATGTCTTGCAAAAGAATGGTTAGCCGCGTCCAGGAATTACTATCCGCATTAAATGGCTCACAAATTGCGTTTCGTCCTACGAAACTATGATACTAATAGCGTAATAAAAGGAGGCCGGCCCGAGATGGTAATAGGAATAGCAAGATCCTGAGAGTAGAGCTCTCTCCTTTCGTCCATCCCAAAAGGCCCGTCCCACATTAAAACTTCTATTACGCTTCCTTCGTACGAACATAGCCCAGTTAAAAGCCGGCCAAAACAACCCGCATCCACCTCGTCCTGCTTTTATTAACGTCGGAAACGTTGCATGCTCGAAAATTATGCATCACTTAATTTCATGACAACGTCACAGACAAGTTACAGGACGAAAGGGATAGCAGCGAGTGGAAAGATTCCACGAATTATTAAATTGCATTTTACTTAATTCATTTTAATTTGCATTTATGCGGTTTCTATTTAATGTCTTTCATCTCCGACTACCCTTTGACTGCCGAGCACATTTCACACCATTCTTTATAACCCGTTGAGCTTTCATCTTGCGGGAAATATTTTTTTGTTCTATTTCTTTTTACTTTATAAGTTAGTTCTTTGTTGACCCACGTATGACCTCTTCTTATTTAGAATCATCATAATTGTCATTTTATTTAAACTTAAAAATATATTTTCCATTAAATAAAGTTGACTGGGAAAATACGATCATTTCAAGCAATAACATCTCTTGTACCTTGAGTACGTTCAGTATGGTGTTCCTGGGTGGTCACACCTTTTTCATAATTTATTGTTTTATATTCGATTGAAGATAAAGCCACAATACATTTAAAACATTAATCATTTTGCCGCACTCTCTTCTTTTATTGCATTATTGTTGCCGTTAATTTAAGTAAAAACATACATTTCACATAAATCAATATAAAATATTTAGTGTTTTTGCTTTAAAAGTTAAAAGTTAACTTGTTATTTCAACATTTATTGATTGTTATATACATATGAATTTAAAAAAAAATGAACAGTAACAAATAGTAAAGAAGTCTGTGAATATAAACATAATGATTAACATCCTCAAATATTTATATTATAATCTAATGAATTCTGGTCAATTTTAAGTTGCTTATACTATAGACATAAATTAACTTTAAGCTCCCGAAGATTGAACATCTCAAGGTTGAAATAAATTCCTTGCGACTATTAATAGAAGATTATGATAATACGTAAAAGTGTTTTCCCGAAGGCCGCATAACGTAAATTAGGGATTCGACTTGTAATCTGTCCATCTAAGCAATATTTCATATTATACTGTGGAAAGCCGCTTAATGGAGCGTGAGATGTATTAATACTAGTAGTCGGGAAATCCTTTATTGAATTTGAGAAAACGAGATAGTAAAAACAATTGTATATGTGCTTTTTTTGACGAGAATGGATATGAAATGTGGAAAATACGCGCCAAGTAGCAACAAGTGTTGCAGAATTCTCGTTGATTTTGAAGTGGTCCTCCGCTATCCACTTCTTGGAGCGCAATTCCTTATATACAACCCAATTAAATGTAAAAGTGTGCAGAAAGCGGAGGGAGAAAAGCGAAGGGACAGAGAATAATTACGAGAATAAATAAAACGGAACACGAACGCTAAAGGCCATCCGTTATCGCCGGACCGGGGGCTTGATTAAACCGAGGCAGACGGAAAGTGGTACCAACCAACCACCCTTTCTTCCTTCCATCCGACCAAACCACCCACATCAGATATTTTCTGTTCAGCGCCTTCACGACATTTTCCCCGCAGTAAATCCATTTTTAATTCATTTTCGATAACTTAACGATTTCCAGATGATTGCCTTTTGTGTGAACGCCAGCGCGGTTTATCTGCTGGCCATTTATTATTCCTCGACGCACTTTTCAAACAAACGCGACTGTAATGAAGTCCTGATACGTCGCAGGGAATATTAAACGATCCTCCACATCCCGCCGTGATGCGGATTAATGATGATTCCGAGTCATCCCCGAGATGTGATGTATTTCGGGATGAAATGAACAAATTGTTTTAAGTGCCCGAGAGCGTCGAAGGTAATTGCGATATCCGAAATTGCATATAAAATAAGTGCCATTAACCGGTTAATGGGATAGAGCCATGTGTGTGTGTGTGTGCGTGGCGCTCGTTAACATAGCGGGAATGAGTTATGAAGCCGTCGGTGGTATGCTATAGTTTGCAGTAAAATAACGAAAAACGAAGCGAACGAAAAAGTAACAGGGAAGAACTTTAAAGGAAACATCGCGTAGTGAACATTGCGTATAGCATAAATTGCGTGACCGAACGGGCGGCGTTAAATTAAGTACATAGCGTAATCCCCGCAGAGAGGAAAACACTGCAAAACGAAGACTTCCGCTAGTGTGGTACGCTTTAGAGTTCTGTATTAATTATGAACATCATCTAGGTCATTAAATTTTCTTACTAGACACGATTATAAAATACGTTTCCGGAAAGAATGTCGTCATTAACCTAAGCACGTACTTACCAAGTGCCAGATAATTTATTTATTGGTATTTATAATGAACATTCTACATTTGCTGGCTATTTCTACTGATTCCTTTTAAGCCTACACATTATTATTATTACACGGTTTTCAAGATACAATTCCTGGTAATAATCGTTTACTCTTAATCTCGTTTTTTAGCATTATAAATTACCTTCATTTCTTTTAACTTCTTTTGATCTAAATATTAAAAGTAAAATAAATAAAATTCCAATAAAATCTCTGAAATGGATTGTGGAATTTGATCCCATGCTGAAATATATAAGAATATCGATTAGAACCAATCTGCTTGGTTGCGGAAAGGCAACCGGAAAATTTAAATTTAAAATTCGGAATTATAATAATCCTTTGTTCACCTTGAAAATTCCATAACATTTCCGTAATTTCGTCTGCATCGCTTTCAATCGATATCATAAGAATTCATTAATAAGTAAAGTCGCTCCTAATCGATATCATTTCGTTGCGGAACGTTGTGCACTAACCGCAGCCGTTGGTAATAAGATTGGGGATGGAGGAAGTGAAAAACATGAAGAAACAGGAAATTTAATTAGGGTTGTTGAGGCACGCGTTCCCGTTTTCTCGCCACGGTCCACGAATAAAAAAAAAAACACACACAGACACAATATAATTTCCGTCAACGGCCCGAAGCAAACTATATTTCAGCAGGAAATTAAATGGATATGAAAAATAGGTGTTTGTTTTAAGTACGTAATGAAATGTAATCAGCGTTGCATAGCACGAATTTATAAAAGCTTTATAAATTAAATTATGAATTACATTTACAAATGTCCTTAACAATTGCAATAAATAAAATTTAAAAAATAACAAAGTTGCTATATTATATAAACTTAATGATAAATCAGAAATTATTTACTCTAATTGAATTATATCTAATGTTAAAACTAATAGGAAACAAATACTAAATGCAAGTTTATGTATCCAGTTTTGCTTGATTATAAAATTAATTTATTAATATTGAAAATAAATAAAACATGCACTGTATGAAAATACAATTGGATATGTTTTATGTAAGGTGTGAATCTATTTATATTTTAAATTTACATACTTCTGTGCTAATGTTTCACGTAAATAATATAATTCTACGAAGAATTACATATACAAGTAGCTATATATATAGGACAACACAGGAATTATTCAATAGGTCAGAAGGTAGGGTGCGCGTGATGTAACGTTCGAATTCTCATCTAACAGGTATAAGGAAAAGCAACGTGCGGTGGGCCTTCCAGGAACAATGTGAAAGGATCATCTTTGGACCAATAAAGTGTTGGTGATTTCTTCGTTACACAGACCAAACTGTTTGTATATCATTTTTGGTACCGAACACACTCACACACACATACATTTATATATATATACATATACAAATTGTGAGGGGGGAATAATGTTGGCTTGCGTGTGTCAGCCGGCCGATCCTACGGTTTTCCGCAGAAGCCCCATCCCCCTCGGCACCCCCCCTTTGAAGTTAAGCAATAAGGGTACCAGGGGTAGCGGTTGTGCAGTCACCCCAAAGCCAGGCAGAATCTATCGGATACCTGTCGTAATCACAACAGAACCGAAGAACTCGGCACACCTGACTCAGACCGCAGTCGGTGCAGTCGCGACCAAAGGCAAACTATCAGATAGTCCTCCCAATTCGGACATGAAAATCAAATCCAGAAAAGTGAAAAACAGTGATGACATGTGCGTGAGTGGACCATTACAACAGCAAGCAACGCAGACGACAAGTGAACGAAAACTGGATATAACCTCATCCTCATCCTCTGCTGCTGTCGCTGTCGTTGACTGTTTGCAAAAGGTAATTTTCCCAAGAATTTTCTACCTGCATAAAACTGTTAGATAGAAACTGGAGACCCGCCAGGTGCATCACAAATGCATTCCTCCGGCTCCCATTCGACCATAGAAATAACAAATAAACGCATTTCAAATATTTACACATGCACAAAATAATAATAATAACGTGCTGCAAACTTGAATTATACAATCGGGGAATTGCAATTTTCAATGTTTGAATATTACAAATTACATTTAATTGAAATAAACAAAATGCAATTATTTCAAACTTCACTCTCTAATGAAATAATTAAAAAAAAATCTTCTATTTATAATTTGTATTTAATTTTTTTATACTGATTTAAAAATGGATTATTAATTATCCAAAATTGACATTTACACGATCATAATAATATTTTACGTAACCGAAAATATGAGAATATTTTAGTTAAAAGATGTAACGAAAAACAGGAAATTTAGCTTTCTTTACGACTTTTTTTATGGCCACGAAGTTTTAGTTAATTTTATAAATACTTAAACTTTACTTAAGTCTCTTTCCACTTTGAAGTTTTATATATTTTTTTTTCATTCATTTACGGCTTTAAATTAAGATTATGCTATGAAACACAAAAAAGAAAAGAGAAAATTATATGGAAATTGATGCAATTAAAATTCAATTAAAATTAAAATAATAATAACGTGCTGCAAACTTGAATTATACAATCGGGAAATTGCAATTTTCAATGTTTGAATATTAAAAATTCCTAATAAAATATTTAATTGAAATAAACAAAATGCAATTATTTCAAACTTCACTCTCTAATGAAATAATTAAAAAAAAAATCTTCTTTTTATAATTTGTATTTAATTTTTTTTATAGTGATTTAAAAATGGTTTATTAATTATCCAAAATTGACATTTAGACGATCATAATAATATTTTACGTAACCGAAAATATGAATATAAGAATATTTTAGTTAAAAGATGTAACGAAAAACTGGAAATTTAGCTTTTTTTTACGACTTTTTTATGGCCACGAAGTTTTAGTTAATTTTATAAATACTTAAACTTTACTTAAGTCTCTTTCCACTTTGAAGTTTTATATATTTTTTTTTCATTCATTTACGGCTTTAAATTAAGATTATGGTATGAAACACAAAAAAGAAAAGAGAAAATTATATGGAAATTGATGCAATTAAAATTCATTCAGTTAATTTATTATTATCATAAATAGTATGAATATTTTTATGACAAATTTCTTTCTAAAAACAAAATTTCTGATCATCTCGATTATATAGTTTGGAATTCCTTTACACTGTTGCACATGATATAATCATTTTTTTGTATTTCGTTATTTGCATTGAGAGTTTAAATATTTGATGGCGACACGTTTGCACCATGAAAATTACTTAATTAAGTTTATATGCGGCAAACAGACATTGTTGGAGTGTGACATAGGTACAGAGAGGGTGGAACTGGCTCAAGTGCGAACTCAAGATCTCCAGCTAGATTAAACATCATGTGTAGTTGAGTAGGTTGTGTACAGCGAGCAGACCGGGCGTGGATATTAAATAAACAGTGCTATTTCCGTTTGTCATTCATTGAGTAAATGTGGAGGAAATCCAATATCCATCCACATATCATGTAGGCTCGAAGGCGTAGGGGAGGCGGAGTGGAGTGGCAGGAGAGGAGTCCCGATAACTGGCCGGATCTGCATGCAATATATTCGCACAAACGCACCCACGCACCCTCAAATACATACCTACCTATCCCTTTCACCCTCAGACAGAACAAATCGCATTACATCGGCAAGGATGAAAGGACGAAAAGTCTAATATCGCATAAATGCATACCCTTCTTAGGCCCGGCTCTCAAATTTCCGCTATTGCCTTATATCATATCTTCTACTCGAAGAAGTGAACCAAAAAAATCGTTAATAAAAAAAAACGTTCCCAAACGTTATGTGATTAACGACGTTAACTGACTTGCCCAATTGACGGACCAATAAATACCATATCGTACTCGCCGTTCATTTGACGTGTCTAATTAATTACACTTTATTAATTACCCATGTTACCATAAACAGATGGAATTTGCGGATTAATTACGACGATATGATTAAATTAGACGGTCCTTTCAAAAATTCAAAGCCGGCAATTGTATATATCTCCGAAACTCGGAAATTAACGAAGGATTATTATATTTTCATCCGCACCTCCACTTTTAGCGAAAACACCTCGCGATCTCGAAATCCCCCGTAATTGCATCAAGCAGAGTAAATAAATATTTATGCTCCACAAAGTTAATTCGGGGCTTTCAGAGACTCCCAATTCTATCTTTCTGCAAGGATTGATCCAATGTCCCGCCTGGTTTCATCCGCATCTCATAGTAGTATCCCGAAAGATCTTGCTTTTCCAAGGATGTTGTTTCTTTTTTTTTATATAAATATACTCTCCGACATCTTCTCTCTCTCTCTATTTTCCAGTGTTTTTATTTCGCTTCCTGCATTTTTCATCTCATCCAACCGTACACAACCATGTTTTTTTTTCTGGGTTTATTTACTGAGTGAAATACGTTCGGCTCATCAAATTCGCTATTGCGCAATGCCCCATAAATAGCGCAAACATACAACGGAGAGGTTTTCCGCTTCGCCTTTTCCTAATCCTAATCCATTCGTTCGCTGCATTTTTCAATTTCCATTCGGCAACACACAAACACATACATTCTACTTATCGCGGATAAAAATAACAGGCAACTTAAATTAATGAAATTTCTGTGTTAGCACACATTTAATCAGTTGGTACATTACGGAATAAAATACAAAAATAATCACGTTGAAAAATATGGAATGGAGAAGGAAATTTCATGGAATATTATTATAATAATTCGAGATTCTTCTTAATTGGACGAAGTTAATTAAATGTAATTATTCCATACTCGAGCCAGTTAAGCATCGTTTTAATGAAGGATTCTCGAGAAAGTGATTTTTTCTACGTATTTCTTAGCGGCCACCGGTGATGTTTGTATTGTTCCAGTTTCTCGATTGTTATCTGGAATCTGGGTCTTTTCTGTCGGCGCTTTTCCCACCGAATGTACGAGCATGTGCACTATTCAAAATGCCCATACGGTGCAGTTGAAAAGGAGGCCCCACATGACTGAAGGGCATAACGGCCGAAAAAAAAAATGTCATAAGGGGTCATAAATTACGTGGCCCTAAACAGGAAGCGGCGGACAATAGAGCACCGGCCCTTGCGTGACGTGAAAACGTGAAAGGGAACAGTCATCCACCTACACTGATAGTGGAACTATTATTGTAGCGAAGATATTAATTTATCAACTTTTACGGTATTTTTCCTTTCAAAGTTTTCTGTTATATAACAAAATAATAGTACTGTTAAACATCTAGGTAAGAATATTTTAGAAAATACTAATATTGCGCCATATATTTTTTGCATTGATATGTGCTAGTTTTTAACGGTCAATGTTAATTAATTCCGGTAGACAGCGTTTTATTCCCAGACCTGTTTCACTCCCATTTTATGTATCGAATAATCCCTTCTGACTAATGACCAATGACTGCGCTGCAAGTGAATTTTCCCTAAGCCGATTACCTTTTAATTCTGCAGAATGGAAGAGTGCTTTTGATACGCCAAAATGTTTATCCCATCAAATTACTTATGTCATTGCATTCGGTTAAAAAATATTATGAGGTGAATGGTTCCGGAATTCTGCAAAATTGACAGCATAAAAAGTTAAAGAGATTACACACAGAAGGCTATGGTTGTGGTTGAAAAGTCGGTAATTGAAGAAGATTAAAAGATTAACTTGAGAAATAAGGATGGAAAAATAATTAATAATCATGTTTTGTGTATTATTTATTTGTAATACAATAAATGTGATGTGATGCAGTACATTATTAATAGGTTTATTATCGATTTAGTATAACTATCTTTATATTTATATGAATTGGAATATGTTTGCTTGTTGCTGCTGTCATGTAATAGATTGATAGTGCGAGTCTGGCATCGAGATGGATTTCGGCTTTATTGGGTCGTGCCTGTATCGGGGGGAAGGATTACGCAATAAATAACTTATTAAACCATTTGAAATGTCAAAATATACTTTATGTATATATATATAATTTAATGGGCTATATACGATTTGTCACTGCTTTAAATATAGTGCAGTTAAATAAGCAATAACTATGTCATTTGCATCCAATATTGTTATATAAATTAACATTAACAATGTATCATGAATATCCTAAAATTTAATTATAAGTTTATATAATAAATAAGTACAAATAACAATTGATTGTTATGAAGAAAATTAATAATAAACAAATTTATTTCTTATTTTCTATTATGTACATTTTTATTTTATTGTTTTATTTGACTGTTACAAATATGAAAAATTAAATTTATAAATTAATTAATTTGTTATAATTTATGCAAATGCAAATTATAGCAACAGTCGTATATAAAAAGAAGAGTCTTGTGCCTCGCGCATCCACCAATAATCCACCAATAATTTGTTACAACAAAGTTCAGATTAAATTAACTAGAATTTTAATGACGCACTTAGAAAGTGATGAAAATTGATTTGAAAATATCTGCATTTTCGCTGTGGACATAATTTACTAATATTTGAATAATATAGTACAATTTTTGTTAAGCTGAAAACTTGTACTAATTAAAAATAACATTTGTATAGGTGAAACTTTTATGGTGTCAACGTGGGATTATGGGTAACGAAATATTTAATAATATATGAATATGAAAGCGTTATTGTTAATTTCCTTGGAGGATAATGTAAACGGGACCGAATTAGAATAGTAATGAAAACTTGTTTCCAGCTAAATGTCCGCGTTAGTGGAATTTCCCGGCCTTCGGTGCGCCAGGGAAAATCCGATCCGTGCTCCGGCGCCATAAAAAATGTAATTTTATTCGCGAAGTTAAGGGTTAATGTCGTGAAATTATGAATTTATGCGGTGGCGTGTGTCAGGGTCGTCCTTGAACCATTACGGCAATTTCCCTCACGATATTATTAATAAATACACCATCATCACACTAAGGAAACCTTGTCTATCAATCTCAATTAGTTCTAAGCTTACTTATTAATAAGTTACATTTATTTACATGCAAATATACCTTTAGAGGTCAGATCTACAAAATAAAATTATTGTTATTAAATCATATATTTAGATTCTTGAAATTACTAAAGCAAATCATTGCATCCTTAGTTTTAATTATTAATATAATTAACATATGCAATAATGCTATATAAAACTGTATATTTATTGAAAAAAGAACTTGAATTAAAAGGTGATTGAATAGTTCATGGTTGTACTTCATGCGTGATTAACTGGTGTTTATATCAGGAGTTCGATATTAAATTTCTGCGACGACTGACTGAAAATACATTGAAGCAAATCCGTCGACGTTCATGGTAGAAACAAACAAGAGCAGCAGAGCTCGCCCTCCGCATATCTTCGCTCTGGGAATTATTCTGCGCTCGAATGATGGAGTGCATCAACAACAATGATATATTACTTTGTTCAAAATAATTCAACTATGCTTCCCATTACAATGAGTAAATTTCGGCATGACGTAGTAGTTCCAATTACTTTTGTCGAATATACAAAAATGATGAAATTTTTGTTTCATTTATTGAATTATTGAAGGTTGGATTCAATTTCAATTTTACAGAAGGTCATATGAAAATGAGTGCGTCGAGCGAGCATTAAAATGAAACATAGCGTCAATTACCGCAGCCATGTGATTTATGGATTAGCATCAGTACGTTTTGAGTGTATGCATACTAAAAAAAACTGCTGTTTGATAGGTGGATTTTCGGGCGAATGTAAACTTGATTTCACATTTCGGGAACACGAGTTTACGATGAAAATCCATTACTGTTCCATTGAATGTTGACCGAAAATCGACGTGGTGTTAATTAATGGTTCTGGACGTGCGGGTTTTGTGGAAGGTTTCACATTTTCGGCGGCAATGTCATTTCATGCTCCATTTAATTTAAACTTCGCAAGTCGGCAATTCGTTGACCGAAGCTTCGGGAATTAGCAGTCCGTTGCGGAGCCGAAACTTTCCTGTGCAAATGGGAAACTATTTTTCATATCGTTTCGAATTTGGTAAAATAGGAAATAAACAATGTTTTTTCTTGGTTTATGTTGCAGTTACCCGACGGTGTGCAGTTGACATTGAGTGAGCTGCGCGATATGGCATGCAGACAGCAGGCACAGATCGAGTCGCAGCACCAGCTGTTGGCTGCCAAGGAACAGAGGTTGAGGTATCTTAAGGAGCAAGAGGCTAGGCAGCAGAGGGTGCAGGCGGAGAGCGAGAGGTTACGACGGCTTCGAGACCGAGTCGACGCTCAGGAGCTGAAACTGAGAAAATTGAGGGCCATCAGGGGACAAGTGGACCACCAAAAGCAGAATAACATCTCGCTTAGTAAGTTTGACCCTAATTACCGAATCCAATTCGCCCTCTTGAAATCCTTCAAATGGCATATGTTTAGTACGCGCACTCTCACTCGTTACACAGTTTCGCTCTTAATTAATGCAATCACACTAATCGCACCGCACATATAATCTATTGCTTCATTTGGCTTCGTCCACACGGAACAAGCTTACACTAATCATAAACACAGCATTATCCGTTACATACGACTCAATTCATTCATTTGCAATCGCGATTCCGAATGTTTAAGAATTAGTTTGTTAATTAATAATACATATTTTCAATACACTAATCAAAGATAATTGAAGTCCAAATCAAATTGGAAGAACTAAATTATAAGATTTCTAAAAGCGCGTAGTCCCAGTTGGAACAGGGCGGTTAATAAGGAAAATTGTTTGGGGTGTAATTATACCGACTTGTCCATTAGTTTGGCGAAACTTTTACCAAATTCAAAATTCCTTTTATCGATTTCGGACATTTCCTACAACCGTCTCTCATTCCCTTTTGTTTTATTTATTATTTTTTTTCTACCTTCTGCAGCCAGTGACCTTGATTCGATTCGGGCTCTGTTCAATGAAAAGGAAAAGGAATTATCGTTGGCTGTGGCCAAAGTGGATGAGTTGACTAAGCAATTGGAGGAGCTGCGCAGGGGAAGATCGAACCGGGATCAACCGCCAGCCTCGGCCCTGGAGTTGGATAAACTGAGGAGGGAACTTATGGTAAGCAGAACCACATAAATTTCTATATAATATAATATTCACATCTTACAACCACATTATACGTAAGAGGGAAAGGGAAAATAATCAATCTTTGTTAGAAAAGTTCATTTGAAAACATGATTTTCTCAATACCTTACAGTTTACTATTTTATTAATAATAGATTTTTTTTTATATTCATATACAAACAAGTATGGATTGTGACGTTTTTTCAAGTTTTCGCAAAGTGATTACTTATTTTTTTTTTCTTTAAAATTCACACTTTTATAATTAAAGTAATTAGTATTGCCCCTTATTAAATCATACATTATTGTTCGAAGTTGTCCTCACGCTGATTTTCATTTTATTGTGAATAATAAGTTCCCACTCCGAGTATGAAAAGGCAATAAATCCAATCTTTTTACTCACGCCAAAAATGCTGCATTCACTGTGAGTGTATGTCCCTTTTTTTTCTTTCCCCCCGTTGTATCCATGCCATTTGAATTCCACGCAGCCAATTTAATTCGCACACTTTTTGCGCCCTCGCATTCGCCATTTATCATTCCCTCTCGCTCTGTTCACGCGATAATGTTTATACTTTCATATACAGAATAGCCCCAAGGCGAGAGGGAGTGAGATACAGTGTTCAGTTCCATTAGTTTTAGCCGCAATTTTTGAGTTTTTTTTCTTTTTACATTCCTGGTTTCGTTTGCTTTCCTGGATGGCATTTTATTTATTATAACGGAAACGCTCGTGGTCATTTGCATGTGTGAATTTTCATCTATAAAGTTCATAACCCTTTGCATCCAGCAAAGTTGGAGGCGATAGTAAAGATATGGGTGTTATTCATGTAAGTACAAAACTAGTTTCCGAAAACATGTGATTCACTGTCATGCTATAATATAAATATTGAATATGTAAGAAAAGCAAGGTTTAGTAAACAATTTTATAGTAATACTTGTTTACATAATTTCGTAAATAACATTTCACTGCAACTATCGTTTCGACTTACATAAACTTCGACAGCACGAATATCGAGATATATATTGATGTATGTATGTAATGACTGCGTTTACTGTAAGTAATAAATAATTGTTTGTTGTAGTATCGAAACAAGCTGAACGAACAGCAGAATCATCGTCTAAACCAGCAACGTGAGGCATTGACGGCACGACAGGAAGAGATGAGTGCAATTGACAAAAGGATATCTGAGCTTCAAGAACGTTTACATAGGAAGAGACTTCTTAATCAGCAACTTGCCAATCAAATTAGCGCGGCGTCACATAAAGCGACCTTTCACCAGTATGTTAGGTAAGTTGTAAATAAAATTTAAGCTGGAGTTGGATCTACAATTTTGTATTTAATTTACAGATTACCTGGTTCAACTGACCAGAATAATCAGGGATACCCGAGGAAACCGCAACCGTGTAACAACCATCCTACGAACGGTTTGTCGCGCAGCAATATTGCTGCCGTTGAACCCTATAATCACGTTCCTCTGAGCGCAGGACAACCCGTCCGGCATGGACCATTACAAGAGGTAAGCAACTCTCTGAAATTAATTTTATGTTTCTCATATACTAACGCGTTCGTTTATTTTTTTTGTCTTCCAGAACACTACATATCATCCAGTGTATCAACAGAATCATCATATCAAAAGCGACTCTGAACCCAAACAGGAAACCGAGAAAATTGCCAATTACGGGGGCCAAGATGCCGATCTCCTGAAAGATTTCAACGTTTCGAAATCGGATCCCAAATATCAAACCTTGCCATACAATACCAAGTTCACGGTGAATCTGGTTCCCAACAAAAAACTGGACGGACAAGATCAAGATGTCCTGAAGGAAAGCGACTCACATAATGGGAACATTATCCAATCGCAAATGGTCCACAGCGCGCCGCTCAATATACTCAACAAAAATATTGCCACGCCGCTGAATCAAAACGATTTGATCAATAAAAGAAATGATAAGGAGAACGATGATCGTAGACATTTTACGCAGAACGGAAACAAAATGCACGACAACAACAACATGGTTAACAACAACACAACTATGTATCAGGTTTGTTATTAATCGGCGTTATTAATTGTTAATCGAGTCTCATGTTCGTGTGTTGTTTGCCTTTCAGAAACCTATCAGCAGCGTCGCTCCAACATCTGTACATCATTCAGGAAAGTTGTCCAACATTTATCAAACATCATCAATTAAGGTGCAGCCAGTCGAGCCCCAAACAATTTTGAGTACAACAAAGCAAACCCCATTGAATTCATCCCACATACCTTTATTATCCCCGCCTCAATCGACAAGCACGCCTGTTGCAACACCCGATAATTCATCGTCTGACAAAACGCCGAAACCGGCGTTGCCGCCGAAGCCTGCGATCAAGCCACCTCCAAGACAAACGCAGCAGCCCTTCGAGGATAACCAAGTGCCGCCACCCTTGCCACTAACAGAGCCACCTGAAGAAAAGCCTTCGGCTACGCTGAGTCTTGCCTTAAGCAAACTGCAAGGTAACTTTTCTCAAATGACTATTAACACAAACCAAAAAGGAACACCACAAGGATCACCATCGACTAATTCACCTGTCCAACAACACTCTCCGGCCACGAGCTCACCTGTTCTGCAGCACTCTCCACAACTACCCTTAAGTAACAGTAGTAGTAGTAGTAGTGCAAATGATAACATGCCGATCATTAAAGCGAAACCGCTTACGATTAAAAAGCAAATGCTCAGTGAACAGCCTAAACTAAGAACACTCACTTCTTACTCCCGACTGAACGGCTTAACAACGACTAACCGTAGGATAGAAATGCCATCGGTTATTAATTTTCCAGAACCAGAGCCGAAAGCTGCGGACGAAACGGATAAAATGGAGAGCAGCAATGAGAACAAGGACGGCAGCGTCGTGGTGAGACGCTGTAAAAAGGGCAATTTGAAGCAAGACGGCAAAGCGAACTTGTCAAGGCGTGTTAGCTTTGACCCTTTAGCTCTGCTCCTGGACGCAAGCTTAGAAGGCGAATTGGAGCTGGTTAAGAAGACAGCCACGCAGGTTGCAAATCCTTCGGCGGCTAACGATGAAGGAATCACTGCCTTACACAACGCAATTTGCGCTGGACATCTAGAAATCGTTAAATTCCTGGTGGAATTTGGCTGTGACGTAAACGCTCAAGACAGTGATGGATGGACCCCGCTACATTGCGCGGCAAGCTGCAATAACGTTGCAATGGTTCGCTTTTTGGTGGAACACGGTGCTTGCATATTTGCAACAACTTTGAGTGACCACGAGACAGCAGCTGAAAAGTGCGAGGAAGATGAAGAGGGATTCGACGGATGTTCAGAATATTTATACAGTAAGATACTCACAATTTCCATACATTCTATCCACACATTCACGTTTTTTTTTTAATTTTCAGGTGTACAAGAGAAATTAGGAATTCTCTCTGGTGGAGCAGTATTCTCTGTCTTTGAATACGCAGCTCAACAGCCCGATGAGCTCAGTTTCACAGCAGGACAACAATTGACAGTTTTACGAAAAGGAGATGAGAGTGAAAGGGAATGGTGGTGGTCCAGACTTGGAGATAAAGAAGGTTATGTTCCTAGAAATTTACTAGGGGTGAGTTTTTTTTTATATATACATTTCTCTTTAATTCAATGTTATTTATATACGGTTTCTCTCGTTTCAGTTATATCCAAGAGTATCAAAGGTAGAAGATTAAAGGTCTTCGTGAAGCTAGTGTATAATGATATGAATTTTTAAGTACCTTTTTGCCTTTTTGCGAATACTTTAAAACAATTTAAGACGACGTTTCATAACACCACCATCAGCATTTTTTAGTTGTTTTTTTTTTATTTGTCTACCTTTGCTCAATATTTTGCTATATTGTGTAGTCGAAAGGTTCACACTATTCCTATGTTTTTATATATGTTATAATATATTTTTTAATTAATTAATTTTCACGATTTATTATTTTCTTTTTGTTGTTAACATCTGTTTTTAGATAACTTATATATTTACATTTATATGATTTATTATTATATTATTATTTTTTTTTTGTCTTATTTGTTGTACTCTTAATTGCTTTTGAAGTAATGAGCATTTCTTAATATATATTTTTTTTTTAAATTTGT